TATATGTATATATATATGTATATATATATGTATATATATATATATTAAAAAATTCCAGAAGCTTGCATATTTCTGTACAAAAAATTACAGTTATTTTATTATTATTAAAAATATATATATTACAAAATGAATTTTTGGAAAGTATGAGGAGAAAGCTGTTAATGACAAGTTAAATCCTGGTTGGTGTTGCAGTTAGGGTTAGGGGTCTGTCACACAGTGGGCTCTGTTTGGCATCTCTATTTTTGTGGAGGTCTCTGTCAGAGAAGCGTGAGGGAGCGGACGCCGGCTCAGCGCAGCTGTGAGCTTCCTGCGGAAGACTCGACACAGGAAAACATAAATGAGAGGGTCCAGGCACACGTTAGTAGATGATAACCAGAGCGTGATCTCTTTGGCATAGTACAGCTGGTTTTGGGCCCAGCACTGGGCAGAAGTGTTGCGGGTCTGACTGAGAGTGTAAGGGACTCGGGCCAGGTGGAAGGGTGCAAAGCAAACGAAGAAAACACCCACAACCACAAACACCTGTGGAGGAGAGAAGAGTTTAGCATTGGTTAACACACTGTACACCAGAAACAAGAGCTTGTCAAATCAAGAATTTAATGCAATTCAACAACAGTGAAGCCGTATATGGACCGTCTGAAAAAGTTTGTGGCTTGAGCAGTACAGATCTACAGATTATTCACTCAAAACTCCCTTTCGGATTAATTAAGTAGCCAGATAATTTTGTTTTATGCCAAAAATCATTAGAGTATAAAGTAAAGATCATGTTTCATGAAGATATTTTGTAAATGTCCTACCGTAAATATATCAAAACGTAATGTTTGATTAGTAATATGCATTGCTAAGAACTTCATCTGAACAACTTTAAAGATGATTTTCTCAATATTTAGATTTTTTTGCACCCTCAGATTCCAGATTTTCAAATAGTTGTATCTCGGCCAAATATTGTCCGATCCTAACAAACCATACATCAATGGAAAGCATGTACAAATCTCTTATGACTGGTTTTGTGCTCCAGGGTCACATATATGATCCTATGATAAATGAACTGATTCAGCGCTGCACTTCCTTCAGTCACTGAACTGAGAAAACTGATATGCACATACATGAACCGAACACTTGAATGAAGGGGCCAAATGAACATTTTTATGGTTTCTCATTTTGTGTAAAAATGTGAGTTGATTAAAGGGGTCATGAAATGCATTTTATATATATATATATATATACACACACACACAACAGTCAACATTTGAGCGGTGAGTGAATTCTGAACAACTTGAACACAATGGCTAATCTTGTGTTTGAGAAATCAAGAGAAGTGCCTGGCTACCTAGCTCGATGCTATAAAATAAACAAGTGCAAACACAAGTGAGCAGTTGAGTGTTTGCCAACACTGTTATGCCAGTATGCTATTATTACAGTTCCAAATGAGAGTTTTCTTGCTTTCGTTTGAGGGGGCTTTTCACTGTGTGAGGAAATAGACATGTGGCGTGAAAGCATGAGAACAGTGTCAACTGCGTGAGTCTCATGCTGAATGTGTTGGTATAGCCCTGGTACACCACTGTGCCACAAAGAAATCTGTACACAAGCTTTTACATATTACACTGATCTCGGGTCATGATGCTCATGGAATTAAGCTTCAGATTTTCATATTATGTTTCTCAATGTTAGTTTTTAGAAAACTATGGAATACATATAATAATGTTGTATGTATAATTTGTTGCACAGACCAATTGTTTCACTTCATAAGACCTCAACATATCATCAGGATCTACGGGTATTAATTCGGTGTTGCCTGATATGCTTCTTTTGAGAACCAAATGAACCATGCCAGAAGCTGAGACAGAATTTGGCATGTCAGCTGTACAGACAAACATAATTAGTTATTGTTTTTTTATTGTTTGCTTTTTCTTCCATTCCAGATAAACCAAACTGCATGTACAAACTAATCAAATTACAGCTGATTGTTTTACATGCCAGTCTCTTCCTGTATAAGGAGGCACTTCTTGGTTAATGAAATGCTAAAGGCTGATTCTGCACAGCTGGAACATGTATGTTTGAATTTGAAAACTGAAGACAAAAAACACCCAGATGACCTACTACTTGCCAGTTGCTTAAGTGTGCATTTAATGGACACTTTACCATCCCAAGAGGCTACAGGAGACTATTTGTGAATGGCAGTGAAGCAACACAACTGATGCTGATAGGTCACATAACAGTGACAACATGGTAAATAGCTGCATTACCATAATTCCAAGATGACAACATTTGCATGCCACACCACTCCCTGCACATATTTAAGATGGCAGTGTGCATCTACTCATTCAGATTTGTTCTAAGGAGCTGAGAATGCATCATGGGCATCCAGAGGTTGTTCAAGGTTGTGGCAGGAGGGATGTAAAATCTCCTAAAATCTCATATGTGTAAAATCAGTTAGGTGTAGCCCAGCCTGCAGCTCTACAAATGTCTATCAGAGAGGCACCATGTGGCAGTGCCCAGGAGGCAGCAACACTCCGAGTGTAATGAGCTCTCTCACTCAGGGGTACGGCTCGAGTTGCATACGGTATGCCAGCGTGATGGCATCCACTAGCCAGTGGGCGAACCTCTTTTTGGAGACAGCCAATGTTCCCTCTAAGCACTAATGTTCACTTCTTAAGAAGAAATAGTATGCCACGCACAGGACAGATGCAAAATCTAGTAAATGCAAAATAATTGCAATGCTCGGGCAAACCGCTATAGAGTTGGTGCTGCTGTAGAGTTAGAACCGGTGAATGTGGTGTACATGTTAACCAAGAATCGAATACTTTAATGGTTGAGGACAAAATAACTCAACACAAGAGGCCAGGCAAACGCAATGACGTGAAATAAAACGTCATCATATTTTCAAGAAAATTTACGTTATTAAGTGGTGGAAATAACAGATAATGGGAGGAACTGACTTGAGAAATGTTTCAATGGTATTTTCTTTTCCTTTTGCCTCTATATAAAGCACATTAAAGTAGCATTTATAAGCGCAGCTGCTTTGTTTTCTGCAGTAACCAAGGAAACACTGTATCACTGCTGTTCCATAAGCACCACCTGCTGTCAGAGAAGAGATTTGCATTTTAATTCAGCCCTTCTGCTGTTTTTGTGTGTGTGCGTGTGTGTGTGTGTGTGCATGCAGGTGTCTTATGTACCATACTTTTTCTAAAGTCAGACCCTTCTGTCTTTGCTTAAAATCTTTAAATTATACAGTCTAATTCAAATAAAAAACAATGCCCCGGGACACCACGGACCCTGGGTGCACCCGCAGCGGAAGACGCGAGCCAGGCACCGGGTGACGACCTCTCCCCCTCTGCCGCCTCCGATCTTCGAGATCTCCACCCGGAACTGCTTCGCTCCCCTCCGCGAGACGGAACGCAACGCTTTGCAGATTTCCTCTCAGACCTATTGGTTACTGTTGATAAAGAGCTAATTGTCTGAGATTTTAACATTCACATTGATAATACAAATGATGCATTAGGACTTGCGTTTACTGACCTAATAAACTCTTTTGGAGTCAAGCAAAACGTCACGGGGCCCACTCATCGTTTTAATCATACGCTAGATTTAATTATATCGCATGGAATTGATCTTACTGATATAGATATCGTACCTCAAAGCGATGATGTTACTGACCATTTCCTTGTATCGTGCATGCTGCGTATTACTAATATTAACTATATGGCTCCGCGTTATCGTCCGGGCAGAACTATTGTTCCAGCCACCAAAGACAGATTCACAAATAACCTGCCTGATTTATCTCAACTGCTCTGTGTACCCATAAATACACAAGAACTAGACGAAATGACAGCAGCAAACGCAGCAAACGCAGCACCACAGCTATATCACCCTGCAGCCCAAGACTGGTTCTCGTAAAGAGTAGGGGTGTAACCCCGGTGTCCTGGCCAAATTGCCCCCCTGGCCTTTGTCAATCATGGCCTCCTAATAATCCCCATCCACTTGATTGGCTCTATGACTCTCTCTCCTCTCCACCTGTAGCTGGTGAGCGCACTGGCGCCGCTGTCCTGTGGCTGCCGTTGCATCATCCAAGTGGATGCTGCACACTCGTGGTGGTTGAGGAGAGACCCCCCATATGATTGTAAAGCGCTTTGGGTGTACAACAATACACAATAAAGTACTATATAAATGCATCATTCATTCATTCATTCATTCATTCACTAAGATCAAGTAAAACTAGCAATGAGACACAGCCTTGGTCTGACGCAAGAAGCAAGTCATTTGTAATTTTAACAAGTGCAGTTTCTGTGCTATATGAACTAGCTTTTCTGCATCAGAAACAGGTATCATGTTTCGTAACTTGGCAATGTTTCTAAGATGGAAGAATGCCGTTTTTGTAACATGGGAAATATGATTTTCAAAAGACAAGTTGCTATCTAATATAACACCCAGATTTTTGACTGTAGAGGAAGTAACCATACATCCGTCTAGTTGCAAATTGTCTTTTGGTCCAATAAGTAATATCTCTGTCTTCCCCGAATTCAATAGGGGAAAATTATTGGTCGTCTAATCTTTTACATTTTAATACACTCTGTTAGCTTAGATAATTTAGAAGTTTCATCTGGTCTTGTTGAGATATATAGTTGAGTATCATCGGCATAACAGTGGAAACTAATCCCGTATTTTCTAATAATATTACCAAGTGGCAACATGTATATCGAAAATAGCAGAGGACCTAGGACAGATCCTTGTGGCACTCCATGTTTTACTGGTGATAATTGAGATGACTCCCCATTTAAATGAACAATGTGGTAGCGATCGGACAGGTAGGATCTACACCATCTTAAAGCCTGCCCTTGGATACTTGTATAGTTTTGTAATCGATCTATGAGTATGTCATGATCTATAGTGTCGAACGCAGCACTAATATCAAGTAAAACTAGCAATGAGATACAGCCTTGGTCTGACGCAAGAGGCAAGTCATTTGTAATTTTAACAAGTGCAGTTTCTGTGCTATGGTGGGGCCTGAAACCTGACTGAAATTCTTCATAGAGATCATTTTTTTGCAGGAAGGAGCACAATTGAGCAGACACAACTTTTTCTAAAATTTTAGACATAAAAGGAAGATTTGAGATGGGTCTGTAATTAGCCAGTTCACTAGGATCTAGTTGTGGTTTCTTAATAAGAGGCTTAATGACCGCCAGCTTGAATGTTTTTGGGACGTGACCTAAAGACAACGACGAGTTAATAATATTGAGAAGCGGTTCTTCTGCTACAGGTAACAACTCTTTCAGTAATTTAGTGGGTACAGGATCTAACAGGCATGTTGTTGGTTTAGATGCAGTGATAAGTTTATTTAGCTCTTCCTGTCCTATAGCTGTAAAGCACTGCAGTTTATCTTTTGGTGCGATGAATGAAGCTGAAGTGTTATCATCTTGGAATTACAGTAATTATAATATGACATGAATGCAGCTAATGGAACACATCTGAATTTTATCCATACTACCAGGGGTTGACAATAAAACCCACCAACACGTCAAAAGCAGGTGGATTTCATCAGCGGCGTGTAACACGGTCACTCTCATTAGCCAAACAAAGATCACAGCAGAACAGCTGTGCATCTCTGAGCAACACATATCACCATTTCATTACTGAATGATTCAGGGTATTTGAATGATTAGGGTGAGTCAATGATTCAATAACCCATTCATAAAGACGGGCACTTGCTTCATTCTTGAATGAATCAGCATCTGAATTAATTGTTTGAATGAATGGCTCAATGACTCACTTGCTGCTGCCTACTGGCGGTTCACTTTCATATTTAAGAGTAGCTATCATATTTTTATATGATATTTTATATATATTTATATCATATATTTAAAAGTAGTATCATTGCATTTTTACAGCATTTCATATTCGCATATTTAAAACTGATTTAAACCACTAAGCTCATAAAATTATTTATGCAGTTGTTATTTTATATTTATTTGTTATTTTATCAGTTGTTATAGTGTAAATGCATTCATTCCACATTTCAGCTTTATTAAACTGTCTGCATAAATGCATCTAAATGCCACTTCAGGTACTTCTGTTTCTTCCGCAGATCTATTTTGTCGATACCGAGTTCATTTGATTGGTATCAGCCCTATAGTGTCTTATTATATTAAGTGAAATCATTAATAAAATGTAAGAATTTGATATGAAAGATGATGCATACATTTAATAAGGTTAGGGGAAATATGTCCTTTATATAGACAAAAAATGACCTGGAAATCAATATAAGTACATTTGCCGTAACTTTAATCATATAAAGCATAGTTTGTGGCTAGTAATTTTGGAAAACCACTAGCCACAGTGGCTGGTGAGCAAAAAAAGTTAATGTCAAGCCCTGCATACTGCTAAATAGAATGGTAACACTTTAGTATAGGGTCCAATTCTAACTATTAACTAGTTGCTTATTAGCATGCCTATTATTAACATATTAGCAGTTTATTAGTACTTATAAAGCACATATTCTACATGACCATATTCTGCATTCTTAATTCTGCCCAATACCTACCTTACTGACTATTAATACGCAAAAAATTAGGAGTTTATTGAGGCAAAAGACATAGTTAATGGTTTGTTAATAATGAGAATTGAACCTTAAAATAAAGTGACCAAATGTTTATTTTTTGTGTTTTTTGTATTTATTTATTTTTCCGTTGTTTGTTTCAAACCAAATTTAGTATTTTGTATGCAGCTCATGTCTCCATTAATCTTCATCATTTCCTTGAATTAGAGTTTCCCGCCCCAGTTCCTGGAGGCAGACCAACAGCAACATTTCTGAACTTGACGCTTTAGTATTAACTCAAATCTAAGACCTGAAATGGATGAGTCAGATAAGGCAGACATCCAAAATGTGTAGTTTTGGTGTGATTATCTCCCATTACCTGCATCTTTACAGAATGTCATTGTTTGCACTCTCAGGGGTGCATAGAGAGGTAACAGAAAGTGCACTATACCTTAGATGTGGTCTGTTTGCTGGCTGTGTCACTGCTGCTTTGTGACGCACGGTACGATTCAAACACTTTCCTGCTGATGAAGGTGTAGCAGACGACCATAAGTGCTAATGTACCCCAAAAAACAACCTGGCAGAAGTAATTAAAGCCTTCATGCCACAGGAGTCCCATCTTCCCCTTCATCTTGGTGCATCGCAGCTTAGCACCAGAGGAAATCTGTGGCATGTGGTTACTTAGGATAACGTTCGGCAGAGCCAGTGACAACATAACCACCCAGACAACTGCGCACAGTCTCTGACCCACTCTGACCCTCTGAAGAGCGCATTTTCCAAACGGATGCACAATCTTTAGGTACCGGTCCAAGCTGATCAATCCGAGGAGGAGGATGCTGATGTACATAGTGGTATAGAAGAGCACAGCTGAGTACCGGCAATGAAAAGCCCGGAGCTGCCAGGAACCCAAGCCCGCATCGGTCAGTGCCTTCACAGGCACAGTAAGGGTCATCAATAGATCGGCCACGACTACATTCTTCAGGTACACGACAAAGGTTGAGGTGCTTCGGATTTGGAAGAAAATCCATGCGGCCAGACTGTTCAACACAAAAGCCACCAGAAAGAGAGCCGCATACAGGCAAGGGAAGAGAACAGACGTTACTCTAGTGTCCCTCTCACACTTGAGTGAAGCGTTCACCTGACTCGTGTTCATCTTGATACCTGGAGGAAGAACGTCAATACAGCTGAATGCAGTATTGGAACATACTTGAACAGTTTATCCACATACAGCTACAAACAGCACAACTACATTGATATAATAGAAAACAATGCATGTTCAATGGGAAAATTAATGAGTTATGATGATGTTTAATTCTATTGAAAAACCATTGCTAAAGCAAATAGAAGAAACCAGAAATAACAAAACCAAAGTATGCTTATAAATAATGGCAATTAATTTTGACACATTGCAATTCATTTGGAGAGAAAGTGGAAACAAATAGATTTGTACACACACAGACATATATTACAATTACATATATGCATGCGAGAACAAACACTCACCAGGAGTGCTGCTGATTTGGAAGAAGATCCAGACGGCCAGACTGTTCAACACAAAAGCCACCAGAAAGAGAGCCGCATACAGGCAAGGGAAGAGAACAGACGTTACTCTAGTGTCCCTCTCGCACTTGAGTGAAGCGTTCACCTGACTCGTGTTCATCTTGATACCTGGAAGAAGAACGTCAATACAGCTGAATGCAGTATTGGAACATACTTGAACAGTTTATCCACATACAGCTACAAACAGCACAACTACATTGATATAATAGAAAACAATGCATGTTCAATGGGAAAATTAATGAGTTATGATGAACACACCAATGCACTTTACAAAGAATCTCCCGTTCTGTTTAATTCTATTGAAAAACCATTGCTAAAGCAAATAGAAGAAACCAGAAATAACAAAACCAAAGTATGCTTATAAATAATGGCAATTAATTTTGACACATTGCAATTCATTTGGAGAGAAAGTGGAAACAAATACATTTCTACACACACAGACATACATTACAATTACATATATGCATGCGAGAACAAACACTCACCAGGAAAAGTGTTTTAGAGACTCGTGAGAACAGCTCAAAGAAGAATTAATAAATGGCTTAACACTTTCCGGCAGCTGTATCCACAGTGCAATATGTGCTTCTGTGTAACCACACACACACACACAGAGAGAGAGAGAGAGAGAGAGACTTTGTGACTTAGTTTGGACATACCATATATTTCTATTGACTTTATATAAAGATAATTATAATTACCACAGACTAAACCCCACCTTAACTCTAACCACCCAAAAAAATCTTATATATGGTAAAATATATTTATAAATTGTTGTCTATTTGCTAACAATATTTGCATTTATTTGTTCCTGTTTTTTTTTTATTTTATCATTGAGGACATCCCTGGATGTCCCCCAAGAAAGGTTTCTGTCAGATTTAGCTCAGTGCACTTGAGACTTGAGACTTGAGACTTGAGACTTGAGACTTGAGACTTGAGACTTGAGACTTGAGACTGACTTAGTTTGGACATACCATATATTTCTATTTACTTTATATAAAGATATTTATAATTACCACAGACTAAACCCCACCTTAACTCTAACCACACAAAAAAATCTTATATATGGTAAAATATATTTATAAATTGTTGTCTATTTGCTAACAATATTTGCATTTATTTGTTCCTGTTTTTTTTTTATTTTATCATTGAGGACATCCCTGGATGTCCCCCAAGAAAGGTTTCTGTCAGATTTAGCTCAGTGCTGGGGACAATTCCCTAAATGTTTGCTAAGTATGCACACAAACAGATGCACAGTTTTGCACATGTACACACACACACACACACACACACGCACACACACACACACACACACACTTTCTGCATTGTTGATGCCTAGAAGCATTTTCTCATCAGGCCAGCAAATCTCATCATATGGAGTGGTGAACCTTTTTTTTTATTCACACCTAGAAATATTTTTTAACCATGTTTATTTATACACACAGTTGGTAACATTATATAGATAACTGGCCTCTTTGCACTATATGAGAGAGTGAGGGCAGAAATGTGAAAATGTTTTCTTTACTTTAGTTTTTAGCATTGCCTGTTCTAACCCGAGTTGTTGCAGTTATCTGGTAGCTCACCTGCGGTCAACTGGTTGACTGGTACAGTACCTGAAGGGAACCATCGTACATCCAGGACACATGCTCATTCTCTCTCTAGTCCTCTAGCCAGCACCACAGTAGCAGTGCTTACACATTTCCCTTTCTCTTTTTAGAAGTCAACAGATCGTATCAGTCTTTGTGTTCTTTCCGTTGCTTCCCTAGAGTCAGGTTCGTCACAGATACATTGGCCCTCTAGTTCCAGGGAGGTGAAGGCTGAGGAAGAGCTGGAGGAACTGGAATCCGAAGTAAAGCAGTTGGTGCTTTCAGCATTCGAATGCACCCCCTGTGGTTTGTTTGTGGAATTTAAATGAACCTCAACTCTGTGAGTATTTGCCTCTTCCTGCACTCTCACCTAACTGTGCAACATCAGTATTAACAACTGCAGTTTTTCCTAAATTACCACACTTGTACTGTAATACTGCAAACCCAACTAAATTTTGCATTCCCTAAACAGTATCTGTTTCCTAATACAGCATTGTGAAAAAGGCTCGTTGCACTTCCTTTGATAGCAGCTGATGCAGCTCTTCATAGCAGTCACTGAGTCTGTCACGTGCACCTCTGTAATGGCTTGGCTTGTCCACCAAATTGGGCAAAAGTAGAAGGTAAAGGACAGTCAGGATCACTGGAATGATCATTGGAGCACCATTGTCCACCATCCTTATACAGCTCAAGGGCAGTAAATACACTATGTAACATGTCTTGCATACTGTATTTATTATGTCTTCAGAATTCATGGTCTTAACCCTTTCATGTTTGGTCTCGTTCTAAAGGTCTCTGTGCGATTGGTAAAATGGTCTCAGTTTCACAGCAGTCACTTACAGTATGTTGTGAGAAAGATTGAAAACGTTTGTAGAATTCTGTTCTTCTGCTGAGGGGTGTGTCCTCCTCAGGGTCTGTGAGAATGTTTTCCTATCTCTGGTCAGATGTGACCCTTGGTCATGAGATCCTAACAAACCAAAAGGTCATTTTATGTTTTAAATTACAGCTGTTTTGAAGATTTCTTTGTTCTGGTCTGGGTATATAAGTGAAATGGCAAAACGCTATCTGGGGATTCTGAAACCAGAAAACACCCACACCCTCACTTAATTATCTCATTAACTTTAACTCTTTTAGGACTTGGGATTTGACTTGAGGCTTGCTTGTGACTTGAAAGGAATGATTTGGTCCCACCTCTGGTGAAATCAGCTGCTGCAGTTCATGAGTGGAATAAAGATATGGCAGGACTTTTACTTTCTGACCCCTGGACTTTACACCTCTGGTCTCAAGCCATCCTAGGTTTATATGACTTTCTTCTTTCAGACGGATCCAATCGGAGTTATATAAAAACATATCCTGGCTCTTCCAAGCTTTATAATGGCAGTGTTATTTTTCAGTAGTCCAAAAGAAGTCAAATAAAGTGCATCCATCCATCATCCATCATACGACAGTTAGCGGAAGCTACATATTGCCATTAATAATGTTTTAAATATTAATATTTTCTTACAAAACTGCATCGATTCGCTACAGGAGGCCTTTATTCACCCCCCCCGGAGCCATGTGAGACACTTTATTATGGATGTATGTGCTTTATTTGACTTCTTTTGGACTACTGAAAAATATCACCCATTCACTGCCATTATAAAGCTTGGAAGCGCCAGGACAATTTTAATATATCTCAGATTGTATTTGTCTGAAAGAAAAAAACCATATACACCTAGGATGCCTTGAGGGTGAGTAAATCATGGGGTAATTTTCATTTTTGGGCGAACTATCACTGTAACTGTGGTGGCTGTGGCAAGAGATGTCGAAAGTTAGCAGGGCAGGGCAGGTGCTCTTGCAGAATTAGAACTTAAATGCTTAATTGAAAATTGATGACATGGGCTGAATTTCAGTAAAAACTAAAAGAAAAGGAATCTTCTACCCAGATTCTGCCCAGATCTCACACACAAAAATCAGAAGAATTAGAAGAATCATATGCTCAGTGTTACATCTCTATCTTCACAGAGATGTGTTTCCATTTTACACATTTTAGTTTTATTTCCGTATTGTTTTTCTCAATTCCTATTGATCAATATAAACATGACTTGCCCTCGTTCCCACAGTCTGCAAGACAAAGGCAACAGCGGCTGGCAAAAACTCCCTAAACTGGTAAAAATTAAACCAAGACTCAGTATGGGGAATTCATCCTGCTTTAGCTGACATACTGAAAAACACTGTCTAGATCGAACTTACTTTCTGCTACTATTAGCTACTATTTGAACATTGCTGCATATATGTGGTATAAATGTACAACTGGTAGATGTGCACAAAATTAAATATCAGATTTTACAAATAAAACTGAATTAATTTCTAGCCAGTTTTGCACAATTATTTTTAACCCTGCATGGTGCAAAAAAAGTTTTTGCACTCAGTTCTGGTGCAAAAATACAGTAAAGAAGAAAAAAACATTGTTCACGTGCTAAACTTGCAGTTTTCTTCGACAGACATGCATAAGAAGATCAAGCAAATGGGAATGGAATGTCTTCAGCTTCATATAAGGAGGAATTCTTCAGTTGTATTTATTAATGAGAAATATTGGTAACACTTCAGTTTAGAGACCAATTCTCGCTATTAACTAGTTGCTTATTAGCATGCATATTACTAACATATTGGCTGTTTATTAGTACTTATAAAGCACATATTAATGCCTTATTCTGCATGAGCATATTTTAGATCCCTTAATCCCCCCAATACATAAACTTAACAACTACCTTGCTGAATATTAAGAAGCAGTGAATTAGGAGTTTATTGTGAGAAAAGTCATAGTTAACAGTTAGCTAACAGTTAGTTAATAATGGGAATTGGTTCTTAAAATAAAGTGTGACCAAAATATGTATTTTCTCCTGAAGTGCTACTGTATCTTCAACTTCAGTTTATTAATTTAGCAGAATCTTTTATCCAAAGCAACTTATAAACAAGGAACGTCACATGCAATTTGAGCAACAATATTAATAGCACACTATGCCGAGTTTAA